CAACTAACTACAATATAGACCTTATTTCCAATGTTTAGAGACTACTTTTGTGTGAATTAATTTAGGGGATGATTTTCAACAATTTTCAACAGGTTAAACTGTCACACACCAAGCGGTCACCGGTGTCCGCAACCTATTGTTCTATAATTGTGTCTACAAAACCGGTACTCGACGAGTTAAAAATGGTTTGACTAAATATGTATAACCAGAGTCCTTAGTACGAATTTTTTTACGTTTAAAGTATTCGAAACGAGTACGCGTTCGGCCCTCTGATTGGCCGGCGCCAATGAAGCAACCAATCAGAGCGCCGAATGCGTACTCGTTACGATTACTTTAAACGTACAACAAACTCGTACTAAGGACTCTGGTTTTCCAACTTGATAGGTACTTACATGGATTAAATTATTTCTAGTAAACAATTAGATTAAGGCTTTATTATTGACTCTTAAACCATGAATAATTGCAAAGTCATTCAGAATATTATTACGTAGTTGTTATTTCGTATTTTTGGGTTCTATAATATCCACCTTTGAACTGAATAAACCTTTATTTTCACCGACTTCAAAAAAAGGAGGTTTATAGTTTGACCTGTACAAAAAGTCAAAAGTCAAAATCATTTATTTCAATTACACCAGGAAGGCACTTTTGAACGTCACAACAAAATATTTAAATATTAAATAATAAGAAAAAATGTCAGTCTGTAGGTCAGTCTTCTAGTGAAGCTATTTGCTCGTTCCAAAGTGTAGATTCCTATGGAGAAGAACGAGCAAGAAACTCCATAGGTTACTCTTTTTTAATCATGTTCACACGTACTTAGTCATATATGTTATATGTATATGTATGTATATTTGTGCGCAAATATCTCGGGATTGGCTGAACCGATTATTGATGCAGTTTTCAAAAAAGGAATTGTTACACTTAGAAAAAGGATTAAACTGTCAAAGACCAAGCGGTCACCGGTGATCGCAACCTATTATTCTTTAATTTTGTCTATAATGACGGTACTCGACAAGTTAATGGTACATTAATTAACCGACTTGAAAATAAGAGGGTTGAAGTTTGTATTTCTTAAAGTACTTAGTTTATAAAAGAATTATCTTACTACTACTACATATTTTACCCGACTGTATCCTAAATAATGCACACTACACACTTCATGATTTAATCGTGCAGCTTAACTGTACAAAGTATTATTATTTATTTATTTCTCAATAGCATACCCGATATATAGCAATAGTCGCACCCCCTATTACATGGGACTCATAACATAAATAGTGAAAAGTGAGTGTGACATTGTATAGTGGCAATAATTGACGTAATGTGCACCCCTACCCTTCGGGGGATAAAAGGCGTGATGTTATGTTATGTTATTTAACTGAACAGTCGAACTATACAATTAAATCAAGTCATAAGGTATGAGAGCAAACAGGTGACCTGTATGTACAGTTTTAATGAAAATGTGTATGCTGTATAGATATTCGATTTAACTGTACAGTTCGACCGTACAGTTAAACCGGACGGTGTTGCCTGCATTATACTATCCAAAAAAGTTGTTTAGAAAACAAACATCGATGTAGGCGCAGGCAAGACTAGCATACAATAATAACAAATAAACAAACATAATAAATACTTGAACACTTATGTATCAAAAATGTACATAACTGTTCACTAAGCTGCTTAGTCATCTGACATCATTTGTACACACGACATATCAAGCTACACATAGCCAGTTTAACTTGACCCTCGAATGTATGGAAAGATCATACGAAGCGAGACCATGTTAAACTGGTTATATCGCTTGATGTGACGCCGTGTACATGATAGATGTTAAATGTCAACTCTTGTAACTAACTATATCTTTGATATTATCTATATTATGTACCTTATCTATATTGTTTTGAGCATAGTGCAGTCAATTATTGTATGACAGACTTTTGTATTTTTAGAATAAGTATATATATAATGAAACAGTGGAACAAAGACTTTATATGTATTTATATTTTTCTTGTCGTCATCATCTTCGGCCTGTGTTCATCCACTGCTGAACATAGGCCTCTTCAATGGCACGCCACTGAGCTCGGTCTTCAGCTCTTATCATGCAACCACTGCCATCCACCCTGCGGATGTCATCACTCCACCTAGCTGGAGGGCACCCTATACTACGTTGCTCATATGCTTACCCCGACGGTTATCGGTTCTTCGACAAATGTGACCGGCCCACTGCCACTTCAGCTTACTAATTGTTTGGTTCACTTCGTTTCGGATTCTATCTTCCAAGAGAGAACCTAAGAGACTCCGAGCATAACATATTAATGTACCAATCGCAAGATTTTCTTGAAGCTCTTCTAGGATTTAAATTGTATTTTTTCACTGTACATTTTTGAGATTTATGTGAAGAACTATGAAGGATTATAAAGAGCAAAATATGTTGATGTCTTAATCACATCAATTACTTAGTAATATCTAATAGAGTGATCGAAATTACAACTATCGAATAAGTATTTACTTCCCATGCCGAGCAAAGTACCTAATATTGGGTTTTAAACTGTCAAACACCAGGCGATCACCGGTGACTTTAATTGTGTCTATAATGACGGTACTCTACGAGTTAAATAAGGCTCATAACTGACAAAGAATTGTTGTTTATTAATCTTACGTATCCATTTCATAACAAAGGAAGGGTTATAGAGAATTTTAATATAGGTACATACTAAAAACGATCGTCCAAATAATAACTCTAAATACTTACCGACCTCACAGTTCATGTCACTAATAGCCCCATTCATTGTATCCAGTTGGTTCGATACTGCACGTTCAGGGCGGAGAACAAGCATCTCTATGAAGGAGTAGACCTATGGGACCTCATCAAGGTGAAGGATGCGTATGAAGGCACCATGCTGGACCGACCAGATACTGGGAGACTATCCGTCTTCAGATTCGGTAAGAATTATTATTGTTTTGTTGTTCTACTCTACATACTAAGAATTCCTCTAGTCTATACCCGTCACTTGTATATTATACCCAAACCAGGGTCACCAATAGGGCTGATGAGCCACGGAAGACTTAACGGGTTGCCGGGGCTCCAGCTCGAAATGCAGGAGTAGGAACGGGGTGGTTTTTAGTCAGTAAAAGTCTGACACTCCCTCCCGCCTCACCCAGGCGGGAGAAGTCATTGGATGATATTCCCCCCTAAAAACCAAGATCACACGTACAGTAGACTAGGACCTAGTTGAGTCGTACAAACAACAGCACACAGCATCAATCATGCTGTCAAATTAAAAAACTTCTTTCACTTCATTTAAATGTCAATATTTCGTGACTGCCTCGTTGGCCGAGTGGTCGCAAGTGCTACTGCCGGGCAAGGGGTCTCGGGTTCGATTCCCGGGTCAGGTAAAATATTACTGGGGTTTTTAAAAAAAACTCAGTAGTAGCACGGAGTCTGGAATTGTGCCCGGTATATGGCAATAGGCTCACCCCCAATTAAATGGGACTCATAACATAAATAGTGAAAAGAGGGTTTTACATTGTACAGTGGCATAATGTGCACCTCTGCCTACTCCTTCGGGGATAAAAGGCGTGATGTTATGATGTTATATATTTCGTTACTATCTATCTAGGTATCTAATATAAATTAATTCATAATCAACTTACAGGAATTATGGTGATTGGTATTATATGCATTAATAGCTTATCTTACCTATGCTTCTAATATAGTATATAAATGTGGTTTATTATAAAGATCTTATATTATTATGGCACGAGTGAATGGCTGTTGACTATACCTAGTAACAATCAACGTACTTAAAGCATCATCATATTCACAGAATACCTAGGTTTCAATATTATTTATATACCAAATATATAAAGTATTCATGTATGTAAAGTGCTTGAAGGTCTAGTATTACATAAAAGTTGACAATAACGAGTCACAAAGGGAAAGGGTCAAAACTCCTCAGGTCCCTCATGAAACACTTGGAAATTGTTGACAGAAAAAGTTTGACTTTTTATTGGATTTTTGGGAACCAGGTAAAGTCACTATTGTTAACATAAAATGTTACGTGAGAGAGTCCTTCTATCATTTTAATGTCATGTTTTGATTGAGATTAAACGAAGGTAGACTTAGAGAGAGTGGATAATTTAAACACTTGTACTGATATACTATTCGCGTATATGCTTGCTGCTCACAACGTAGATAACATTTCCCCGTATATACAAATCCCGGTAACGAAACCACAACGCCATCTAACTCGATCCCAACATCTATGGAGCGCTGGGACAACTCTGCTGTGTTAATTATGAATTATTTTATTATAAAATGTTGATAGCGCTATGATCCCGTTACCGCTCCGAACAGAGATTAAAAAAATTATTGAAGATTTTCGGTTAATGTAATTGTTATCCACAAACACCTTCCATGAGTTAAATAATTTTATTGAGTTTATTAGTGATTTATTCTGAGGACAGAAAAATGCAGGATATTTAAATCTTCATTTTCAAATCTATCCATCCATCATCCATCCATAACTGGTGAAAAGTGCACCTCAACCTCTCCCACTGAATAGCCTCTTTCATGTCTCACGATAAACAATTATTAAATTATCATCAATGCCATTTACAGGTCGTTGGGACCCAAGTGAGTACCCTGTGGAAGACCTTTTACGCGCTGGTATGGCGATGACGGAGATCGGTATCAGACAGCCGAAGCTGCAAATCCTGGCTGGCACTGTGATCGTGGACCTTGAGGGGCTTACGTTACGACATGTTGCGGCCCTAACTCCGACTGTGGCATACCAGATTGTGTGTCTTATGGGAGTGAGTATAGGTTGAATCTTTATGATGTCACCTGTGAAATAATAATTTCAAACCATAAGATGCAATAACATACAATATCGAAATGTTCATGTTAGATTATTAACAGTTTTGAAGTATACATTCATGTCACTGATGGCATTGTACACTGAGCTGATGATATCATACATGGTCATATACATCTGTACATAGCTGATGAGAATGATAGTGATACAGCTCGTGTGGTGGAAGTTTTTGATGTTCTTTTCACTCTATTCAATTTTTTTTACTTTGTTTTTGAGGATAGTGTGGCTCAATTATTATATGAATTCTTGAGTCAAACATAACATGTTAATCTAGATGTATATAGTTACCAAGTCTTGTATCCATTATTGTTCTCTAATAGATAAAATCAGTTCAATTCTTAAGCCTTAATTCCATGAGAATTTGAATACCGTAGAGTTGTTTATCACTTTTAAACAGACACAATGTTACAGTTTAATCGTGAGAACACTCAATAATTTTCTCAAGAGCACAAAAACTTAATATTGTTGAAGTGTTACAACTAATGTCATGCAAATGGTAAATTCTAGAAGCCTTAATAATAGTGAGAATTTGAATACATTATTTATCAAACATTACATCACAGAAAATAAAGAGCAAAAAAGTGAGTCAGTCAGTAAACGAGCAGACGGATCACCTGATGGTAAGCAATATGAAAACCCGAAACACTAGAGGCGTTACAAGTGCGTTACCGGCCTCTTGGGGATTAGGAATTAGGGAGAGCGTAACCTCACTCACACGACGAAACACAACGCAAGTAGTGTTTGTTTCACGTCGGTCTTCTGTAAGGCCGTGGTATCACTCCGGTCGAACCGATCCATTCGTACCGAAACATGGCTCTCCCAAACTTATAAAATACGTTCGTTCGTTCAAAAATCTTTAATTTTTTTTTATATTTCAAGTTGACTTAAAATAAATAAACTTCTTATGTAATGTGCATTTCTGGTACTTTCTTTTGAAATTATAATAATTATTCTAGATATACTATGATAGTCATTTAGGCCATACAGCATATCCGACTTATTAATTAAATCAACGTAATATACTTGAGCGAAAAATCTTAATTCATATTTCTTGTTTCCAGATAGCAATGCCAGCGCGCCTCAAAGGAGTCCACATCATCAACTACTCCTGGATCCTGAACACCTTCTTCTATATCTTCAAGAAGTTCATTCCGCAGCATGCTTGGCAGTACATTCACTTTCATGGCAATGACCTCAAATCCCTCCGAAAACATCTAGATTTGGAGTGTCTCCCTCCCAGATTCGGAGGAAAGTGTAGGGCTGGCGCAAACTTTGGAGTCTGGCTGTCAAAGATAAAGAAATACAGAGACGAACAATTTGATAAGGAAATGAAACAATTGGGTTATGTTATCAAAGAGTAATTATGTCGTGGAAACTTTAATTGACACTTGATTGATCACTTTAAATGGACTGATAGATTATAGTCTCTTCACGTCACGTTTATGATTAAAATTGTACAGTAAATAGTTAATAAACTATTCATAAACAAGTCAATATCTTAAAGCTAGATGAAGTCAGATTTTCTGATGGACCTTACGGAAAATACCTATAAAACATTCAGTGTAACTTGTTTTAATTAAACTATAATGTTTTATTACATTGAGAAACTCTTCAAGAGTGTATGATATTTCAAATCAGTGCCATCTTAAGTCTTGTCAATGAACAAAATAGTGGAACACAAAAATATTTATCATGTTTTATTGTTTTCATTGTAATTTTGTTCGTAATACTAAGCTAATTGAATTCACATTCCATTGCTATAGGTTTGTGGTTAAGATCAATTTTATGAACTAAATTTTACAAATATGACAATAATTCAAATGTCCTATATTTGCATTTAGATATGTTTTTAATATTGGGAATGTAAATAAATATATAGAATTAGATTAAGAACTAAGTTTTGGTGATAGAAATTAATAAATTTTAGATTTTTTAGTATGTTAAGCATCTGTAAGATTCAGTCAATTATACATTAATTTACTTATTTTTTTGTAACATTTTAACAAATACCAACTTTTATAAAGAAGAAGTAAGATCTAGTGCATAAATGTGATCTTTTAGAAAGTTTCTACAATAATCGTCCAAGTCAACAATTCAAATTAGATAAATTTAAAAATTGAATTCTGTCACCATGGGGCGAACACGACGATACGGAGTTGTTAAAGTAATCAAGATACTAAATTGATGTTACAGATATTAGAAAGAAATGCTCAAATATAAAATAAGAGAAAATAGTTTTATGTTCTTCAACTCAAATGAGTTGAATTAAATAATGAAAGTTTTCGTTTCGTCTAACGTGAGTTTTCTTACCACTGGAGGCGCAAAAACAAGTTGAGGTCTATTAACCAATCGAATATGTATTTGCTATCAAATCAATAGTCAATAAAATTATTACCTACCTACACTGATTGGCCTAACAAGACCCTATGTCTCACTAGTGCCATTTTATGAGCGCCAGCATCGAAAACTCTCATTGCATAAGAACGTTACTAATCTAAATAATGTGCCTTATGGTTTTAGAAATGAGGTACTATTTATAAATGTAAATTAATATAAATTTAGGTCAAATTGCTAGATTAATTATGAAAAACATTATTTTGTGATATTTTTATACTTAGATGAAATTATATTTTTAAACATAATTTGGATCTTTTAATTAATTGTTTGTTTTCTTTATAGACGTGTGCAAATTTGAACAAAGTTTGAACGTACACATATATACATTTCAATTCCACTTTGTAGTTTGTACTAGGATTACATGACATACTTGGAAGTTTTGCTTAGGTAACAAACTCGTTTGGTCCGTAAACTTTAGCTATTTTATTACTTTTGAAGTAATTTGGCAATACTATAGGTTACTGGCAGCATTACGCACATTTGACTTTGGTAGTTTATTTATAAACAAAAATTGGTTGGTATTTTGTCCACAGGTTATACTTTTTGCAGTTACATACTAGTAGCATTTTACCAAACAATTATTTCGTCGAGATTAAAGTGTTACTGTAAATTTCTTAATCGGAAAAACTGTATATATTATATTTTCGATACCTAGATTTAAAACCTTGTGGTCCTAAGGTCCTATTGAAATGAAAAAGGTATTGAATAATAACAATAGTTTCTAATTTAATTAATTATTCGAAATTCCACCTTCCTATAGACAAACCAAGTTACTAAAGTTCACTCTATCTTATCAACAAACTTCAAATTACATATCAACGTGGAATACTCCTGCTTCCGTAACAATCAATCTACGTCACTCTTCTGATACCCAGTACCCTGGTACCAAATATAGGAATAGTGATTATTCAATTGGTAAATGGGATCGAAGGTTGTTCCCCTTTTGACGTATGAGGATTGAGTGTCTATGGAACAAAATCGATCAATCAAATTATTATGATAATATGAGAAATACTTATTAATAGTTCGAATCTTAGTATAGGTACTAGGTAAATTTTGTACACATTATTAACCCTCTTTCAAAAAGTTACGGCCATTAGCAAGTCATTCACTACAATTATCGCATTATGTCAAAAATGCGATGTTATTTTAATTACAAAGCATAAGAATCCTATACATCAACAATAAAATTTTCAGTGGGTACCAAAATACTAAAAGTGACTAACATAATTTGTAACATTAGACTAGAAGTTAGTTATGTTTCAAAAATTAATTAGTTGGTTTTTTGAGTCATTAAACCCTGATTAGTCACGAAACAAGCCTTGAATACTAGTTCTTAATCACATACATAGGCAGAATATTTGGCGCAGATGACATTGTGATGACATAACATCACGAACTTCAATTCCAAAAACTGTAGCAGCAATATATTTTTCGAATCAACTGTTCTTTTTTCGACTCACGAATTGAACTCAAAACTATTTATTTGATAGTCACTATACAATTACTCGATCACCGACGAAGGTTTATTGTCAATAGGGTAGATGAGATGACTAATTTTTATTTTAATGTCCGTCTGGTAGATTATTTAAAAACATTAGACACGTATTTTTTATTTTCTTACGGAAACTAATAGTTTAGAAGATATATTGATTTAAATTATCACATGAATTATTATCAATTATTACCTTTTTCATTTTCATACCTTGTCATCATCCCTATTGTCAATAAATGGAATTCTTACTACTTAAAAATATCGTAAAATAGGTATAGTGTTAGGAAACGTAAAAAATATTTTAAAGTAATAATCAATTTGCTAGCTTATTTAAAAAAAATATTGGATTCTACAGCCACTGTACATACTAGAGACGTAATAAATAGAAAGAGCTTCCCTTTTATAAATGTTTATAAAATGTAATTCAGAATGATGGCTGGCCCCTTGAACACTCAACATCAAAGGTGCGTCAGTGGAATATTTTATTTACAAATTAAATTACCAAGATACAGTTTAGTTACACAATTCGGACCAATTTAATATTTTATTATTTTATTCAAATTACAAAGTGGTTCATTGTAAGTGACGTATTTAATTACCTATGAATTGTGCTGAAATTAAAACATTTTGAATGTATGTACGCCATTGAAGAATTGTGATTTTTAAGACAAAAAAGCTTTCAAGCGGTCTTTAGCTTTTGGAGAAGAAACTAGAGACTGTGAGATTCTTACGTCATTAAACCACCGTCATGAGGAAACAGGTTCTTCAAATACTAAATCGACAAGAGTTTCAGTTGTGCAACGCTTGTTAGGACACGAAAAAATAAAACGTCCCTTTCCAATTTTTAAACAAAACATCCAAATATATCTATCACTTTGATAAAACATAATTCATTGGACCATGACATACAGTCGGACGGACTGCCGATAAAAATACTCAATTTGCAACACAACACATTTGTTTTGTTTACCAGGATCCCACAACACGTGTGGAGATTTTAATTGGTGCATTTTAATGAGATTCGGTGAGCCGCGGGCAGATACTGAATTTCATTATGAAATCAATTTAAAACCGGACCTGCAATATTGTTTCGATAATATTAATTTATAATTTTCCACAATTCCAGTTGTTAATGTTTGAAATGGTTGAGCAGAGGTGCACTCATCTTATACTTTATATACTATTATATACATCTGGAGAGCTTGTTTGTTTGTTTTAGAAATAATCAGTTTTGTTAAATATGTAAGCGCCCGCAGCACGATCAAGGGTGATGAAAATTGTAATCTATTCACCCATCATCACACGACATACAATTTTACACAGACAACTGACGTGAATCAACGCTAGTGTGAGCTTTCATCATGTGAGTAAGGTTACCGGAAGCCTAATTACCCCCCCCCCCTTCCCCAATCTCTCCAATCCCTGAATCCCCAACAATCCTCAAAAGGCCGGTAACGCACTTGTAACGCGTCTGGCGTTCCAGGTGTCCATGGGCGACACTGATTGCTGACCCGTCAGATCGTTTAGCGGCTTATCCCATAAAAAAATATTAGTTTTCGAACAGTTTCACAATATATACAAGATCAAATTCTATTTATATCTCTGTTATACTATCAGTAGATACACAAGGCTTCTTCATTTTCCTTTTGTGTTCGCAGCTAATCAGCGGAGTTTCCTCATAATAACTCAACTGTCACCCACAGAGACCCAGCTTTGTTCCTGCTTCAGAACATTGGGACTGATAGACGTATTGCTTTGCGGATAAACTTGGATTAATTAGTACACGTGTAGGTTTATCTTCGACATAATGGAATCAGATACACACATTATTGAATAGCAACTAGATATTTGATGAATAAAATAGTTCAATCGGACCTACACCTTTAGATAATCAAAAAGCGTGGCGTTTAATTTACATACATTGTTTCTTTTTGTTATTTTCTATTTGGTTTGGCGAGTAATTTTAATTGATGATAGATGCTCTTCCTGATTGATAAGGCCTTGAAAATAATTAAATATGTTTGTATTCCCCTGACGAGGAAGAACAAAAGTGATTTGTTAATCTTTGGAGTAGGTAATGTTATATTATCTTCAGCTAAATAATATTTGTTACAATTTTTACATGATGGCATAACCGTTTGATCGCGTATATGATTCCATTAAAAAAAACTCAATATAGCCAAGTTATTTGGTGTGCAGCAGTACAGGAGGTAATAAAATAAAGACACAGGTATGAATACAGGTAAGAAAATAAAGTAAACTACAGAAACAGTAAGTAGTCACTGTTAAACTAAGTTGTAAGAGTTTTATTAAACCAAATATTTTGTTACCTACTCTTACTTGTCTACTTAGTATCCAACTAAGGATTAGGTATTGAATCTCAATCATAATCTTAAGTTTTTGCTTGCATACCAAATACTGACTGACTGTAATCCACATTCATAATTAGTAAACAAAGTTATTTTAACAAGATAATCTAAGAAAAAACAATAACACATGAAATATGCAAATTAGTATTAAGGTCGATTAACTGTGATTGTACGGCTGCCAAACTTGGGTATTTACGGCAAAAGCTAAACAAAAGATCCAAACTACACAAAGGGCTATGGAGAGAAGTATGTTAAACATAAGAAAAATATACAAAGTCAGAAGCGAGGAAATAAGACAAAGAATAAAAGTAACCGATGCCCTGAACCAAGCTCTAAAACTGAAATGGCAATGGGCTGGACATGTAGCACGGTATAAGGACGACAGATGGACAATCAAAACCACAAAGTGGAGAGGGCCTACAGGTAAAAGAAAAGTAGGCAAACCAAAAAGAAGATGGGCTGATGACTTGAGAGAAATAGCAGGAGATGATTGGCAAACCATGGCCCAAGACAGAGAAAATTGGAAACAACTGGAGGAGGCCTTCACCCGAGGAGGGACCCACACCCAAGTGTAATACTACTTGCAAATAGGAAAAAAAAACAAAAAAAAATCTGTAATAGTTATGTAATTATTTAATGGTACTGGGAAATAAAGGCTATTTTATTTTATTTTTTTTTATTTATATTTTAACTGTGATTACCAAGAAATCAGAAATTACAAGAGCATATTTTCGTAGAAATTGATACGGAACACGTGTAAGTATCACAGCGCCGTCTGACGGGAAAATGTCAAAGTGATTGTCACTGATATCCGAGGGTACTTCATAATTGAAGGGTATCATGTTGTTTTTTGTCCCTTATTTACATATAAGATGTGTGTTTTAGACAGTAAGTAGGTGTGTTCTCTGGACATGTGTCTCTTGAAAGTACCTTGACTTTAAGTGCTAGAGGTATGTTATTATGATTTGTGAAGAATTATGTCTGATTATAGTTTTCCAAAACTAGACAACGTCTATCATGAAACCAATTATTTCTTAGTTACAAAACAAATGAACACCATCAATATATATAAAAATGAAACCCGTTTCCCGTTGTCACGCCATAACTTGAGAATGGCTAGATCGATTTGGCAAACAATTTTTGTTGTTGTTAAACACTGTTAGGAGAAAGCTCTTATGACAGAAAAAAGTCCTGATAATCCTACGGGAACGGGAGAAAACGAGATTACGTGTACGAAGTCGCTGGCAGAAGCTACTATAATAATAAAATATATATATATATATATAAATAGTAAGCTAGAAAATTAAAACTTTCGCGCGACATACACAATTAATTATAATGTTTTCCAGCATGGCTGTTTAATCCTTTATTATTATTTAGCATGGCTTGAAACAACTAGTCGAGTTCCTCGCCGAAAACATAATAATTAATCATAATGAATAATTAACAAAGAGTAACATCTAAAAATGTATTTATTTTATTTTATTTTATTATGTCGCGATTTCTCTCTCTTTCAACAAGTCTTATTGAACCTTTTTCAATGACTATTAATTTTCAAAATTCAAAAGATATTATGTTTTTCTCCTTCTTTAACACACATGTAATCCCTGCCAAAAAGACCGAACTCCAAAATGTGGTGTTGCTCTTATCATTCAGTAAACCGTCTATCTCTTACACACACTAACACATATCTCTAACACTCTCATGTACCAGGACTGCAGACTCTACAGAACGTACAATTAGCACCTGTTACCTGACAGGATATAAGCTTGTTTAGCTCCGAACTTGGTTATTTCCGGTCGCATTCATCATCTGAACTGTTATGGCGCGGACGTGTGATCGATACTCCACGCTATACGGCTGATTAATGTTTTTCAAACTGGAATATAACATTGCATCTGTTATTTCCCTAGGGGTAAGCAGAGGATGCTTTGTGCCAGTCCTACTTTTCATCTAATGGGTCGTATCTAAGCTTTTAATGGTACAAAAAAGTTACGTTTCAAATTCTATGTTAACAGTCTGTTTGTTTTTGTTGTCCTTAGTTGAAACTACTAAGAAAATGTCTGGCCTTCGAAATAATTGCTGAAAAACTGTATCTTTGAAACGCAATTTTGTTATTTTCAAATATTTTTTTTTTCTTCGGCCATTTTATTCGGTTCTGCCTCCAATAGCATGCCATATCAACTGGATCTTCAGCCCTTCGCATTCAACCACTGCCAGGCATTTTATATAAAGGTACTGTTATGTATGCTACAATAAATTATGGTAGATTATTTAAATACATTATACACGTATTTTCTATTTTCTGACGGAAACTATTAGTTTCGAAAATATATTAATTTGAAATATCGCATGATGTCACTTTATAGTATGATTTTTCTCTAAAATGACGTAGCTTCTTCCCACTCTTAAACTTTGGTTCGTTTATAAGTATTGTTTTTTATACGACAAAATAAAAAAATACGAGCCTAAGATTTTTTCATTACCTAACTGACGGACTAATTTTAATTTTTATACCCTGTCATCATCCCTATTGAGCACTTGTCAGCCGGTAGCATGTGTGTCGGAAAGTCGCTCAAAATTAGCATGCTCATTTGGGGCATGTTTGCGAAGAGAGAGGCGTTTCTTTTTTGAAATTTTATTTTCAAATAAGAAACGCCCTTTACCTATTACCTAGTCTACCTACATACGCTAAAAAAATCTATATAGTTTGTATTACCTACCTTTTAATTTGGTTCACAATTTTTACGTTTTATCCTAACAAGTTTTCATATTTCAATTTTACTAAAACGAAACGAAAACAATTAAATTGTAAATGTAGAGAAAATAAGTAATTATTTTCGCAAACATTCTCTTTGAACCGTCAACTAGAACATGTTACTTAGAAATAATAAAAAAGAGGGCAGAATACATTTTATTTTAAACGTTGATCCAGTAAAAACTGCGAATTACTGAAATGAAAAGGTATCTTACATAAAGTGTTCAATGTAAGTGGAACACAAAAAATAAAAGTTATGTCTGCCATATTTTTTATTAAAGTTATTTCGAGCACCTGCTGCCATACTGGTATAGTTACTGGTGCCAAGAAAATGTGAGGCGATTATATGAGATGTGTACCGAGCCTTATGAAGCGAGCTCTCGTAGCCGCGCGGTGCTACGGCGCTACAGGTCTCCAGTCCGCCGCGAGCTACGGCGTAGACCGCTCGTCAATCTCGTAGACCCATAAATAAAATAACACAAAACTTCGTTCCTCGTTCGTTACATTAAAATGAAATTAAATTTTTTCCCCCATAAACATTGAAACTGTGATTTACTTCCCAAGTAATAAGTGACTTGATATAACTTCAATTTGATTTCTGTTCCAAATAAAACTTGGAGGTAAGTAATAAAAGTTGTTGTTGCTTTTCGATACAGGTGCCGAGAGACGTGATCAAAATTACTTATTTATTAATTAGTTAGTGTCAACTTGTAGTTGAGGAACTTCTTCCATCTTCTGTTATTTGCGAAGACATGTAAAATGGACTAAATAAGAAATTACATACAGTTGTGTATATGAAACTGTACACGTGCGAGTTGAGTCTTTGATGTCCATTGAAACATCTTTAGGCAGTTCCCCGTCCACGTTTGAAGACGTCCTATTTGAGGGAGCAATAATACCCCGCGTCAGCTTTTGTGTACCCTGGACCATAGAAACTGGGGTTGAATGGGGTCGAATCATTTTTAGTCCCTTTTCACACAACCCAAATAAACGTACCGGTACCGTACTGAACCTTTCTAACCTATCACCAGGGTTTATTCACACATGTTACCGGATACCCGGGAACCGGACAGCCGGAATAAATGTAGAGACTGTATGAACGTTACCAATCGTTTCTGTACGCCACACGGTCCGGTTTTGAAGTGTAATATTTCCGGTCCGTCAGTGACATTGTTGTTTTTATTGCGGTTACCACAATGTATGTTTCTACACGAGTTTTTTAAGGCTATAAGGAAGTACGTACTTTTAATCTAAAGTTCTAAAGCTTCGTGTTTCAACAATTTCCTCTTCACAATGAGGTATCCGGGGATACTCGTGCTTTCTTTATCGATTTCAACTTATGTGAGTCGTGGGCAAGATAAATTAAATTTTTGTTCAAAGAAATAGTAGGTACTTTTAGTTATGAAAGTATCTACTAAATATAAATTTTAATATTTAGTTTTAATTTTATTTAAGTAATAGTTGTAATTTAAGTTTTTTATAGAAATAACCGATTTATACCACTACAGTTATGAAAAGTAAAATAAATGTTTTAAATAAGTACTAATAGGTATAAGTAAGTTGTTAGCTTCTGCCACAAATTAATATAATTACTTTTCATAAAACTCTTGCATGAACAATCCATTCCACGTTGTTATACTTTGATCAAACCTAGCCAGTTGAATAGATTGCTAGTATAAAACTATCAAGCTATAACGACGGCAGTAAGCAGTCATTTTAGATCACTTACATTTATGGTCAATATACCTTATGGCCAATATAAAGCAAGTACATAGGGAAAGCAATTTTTGGAAATGCGTGATATGATATGACTGTAAATTGCGGACACTGAGAACGCAGAAGTGCACATTAAGGCACTTAATGCCACTGTGCCATGTATTTATTTATTTAAACTGTCAAACACCAAGCGGTCACCGGTGACCGCAACCTATTGTTCTATAATTGTGTCTACAAAACCGGTACTCGACGAGTTAATATGCTTCATGCACAAAATGTAGTCTGACCTTTGGGTGATGCAGAGAAGAGTAAATGGTAGGTGCAAGAGGCAAGCAGTGATTTTATTTAACAATGAAAGATAAACTAATATATTTCGGAGATATACATACATAAATAAATTTAATTATAATGTATTATACATGAGTACAATATGCATACATACATACATATATACATAATATATAAATATGTATATACTTGCTTATTAGTACACAGTGGATAGTTAGCGCGATAACACCCCCTTTTCATTATTTATATTATGAGTCCCATGTACTAGAGGGTGACTATGAACCCAAACCTGAGACCCCTTGCCCAACAGTCGCACTTGCGACCACTCGGCCAACGAGGCAGTCGAGGCAGTCGAGTCAAGACCAATAATGCCACTTAATTTAACTTTATCAAATAGTTTAACGATTAAATAACACTTTTTTTTTTTTTTTTTTAAGGGGGGAAAATCATCGAATGACTGCTCCCGCCTGGGTGAGGCGGGAGGGAGTGTCAGACTCTTACTGACTAAAAACCACCCCGTTCCTTCTCCTGCACGTCGAGCCGGAGCCCCGGTTACCCGTTAGGTTCTCCGCGACTCCGAATCGGCATCGGCCCTATTGGGCCCCATCTGTGGTGGTCTGATGGCTCTTTGAGGCGCGCGCGGAACGCGACGCGCCGTACGCTCGGGTCTGTTTCTGGTCGGACGGGGAGCCACCCATGCTCGCCGTCCGCAGGCCCGCGCTTACGGTGGCCGGAGATCGTCCCGCGATCCCCGACGCCCGGTGTGTCCTTCGCGATGGATTAAATAACACTAGGGAGGCAATATAGAACGATTTATTCGTATGTATTTATGCACAGGTATATGTATAAATTTGACCACATCAATCTATTCCTACCTCCATTATTATAATTAAGCCTACAGTAGAAAAACCGAAAGTACTTGTACAAGCTGTTGGCTCTCGTACCTATGATGCTATGTGTAGTTGGTGTGTGGTGTCGGTATGATCCCGAAGTGTGATAGTTTAAACACCACCAACACAGTAAATTAACTAAAAATCGCGTATTACTCACGTGAAAATACTAAGAAAAGCTGTACAGGTTTTCTAGTACTTTGAACTAGTAGTAGTTCGGAACCAGAGTAGACGAAAGTAGGCTGCGCGACATCGCCTCGACCGCGCACGCTGCTCATGAGGAGGATCCCCTCTGTGGTTCGAAACTAGTAGAGCTTTTCTCAGTATTTTCACGTGAGTAACCCGCAATTTTTAGTTAACCACTGACATAATTGAGCGATTTATTAACACTGAAATTTATATAAAATCATTTTACATACAAAGGTCTTCACACACACTTCAAGTATCTTCACAGTAAAGAAGTGTGTCGTAATGTCAGCATTACCTACGACATTGTACAATTAGTTGCAAATATAACAATAATAAAATATTTCGTAAAAAATGTAGGTACAATGACTTGTAGAGTACTAATTTTACATATAAACAGTTGATCTTACACTTTGACCAGCAAATTAAGATGAACATTTTCAACTTTGACTTCAGTATTCTGATCAAATTGATCTCATCAATGAAGATTAACATCAAAGCTTAGATTTTGGCATCACAAGCGCCCGCGCCGTCGATAACTGTGATTGACTGACGGACAGATTAATTATAAATCTTGATGAAGATTCCAAATCGATGTAGTTGATGGGTTACATCTTCGTAACAATAGAGGTATAGCCTCTAGCAAATACAGAATATCTTTTAATCTTCGTAAGTTATGTGCGACTAAAGATGATTAAAAATTCCGTCAACAATCTTGTCTTAGCAGCTTGAAAACTGAAGTACCGTATTATACCTTTATTATTTTCACCAAATTAAATCTAACTACCTAATATTTGTAATTTTCACATTATTTTTCCTGAACTTTGGTTGAACGAGTTCGAATACCAATATATCATAAGTTTCATCTTCCAAAATATTTGCTCATATTGTTAGAGTTTCTAATCTGTATTAAGTAACACTATGTTACAAATAGCAGGAACATCATTTTCCGAACATTTCCTTCTAATGAACAAACTAAAATATTAATAACAATTACCTCAGAATAATTAGTGGTCTGAATTTTAAAGTGAACCAAGTAAATGTGACTAGGATAGCATAGCTAGTTAGGAGTTCATTAATATTACATCCATTCGAGATAAGGCCTTGTGACAGGAGGACAGATAACACGAACTCTGTAATAGGATCGACTCCCGTGGGTTTACCCTTTAAATATTAAATTTTACAGTCAAATTGTTTTCAGAAACGAAAAGTAGATAGTTCTACGTCTTTGTCTTTCGTTGAATTTCAATTGGATGTTTTTATCACATAACTAGCGACCCGCCCCGGCCCCGCACAGGTGCAATATGTATGTATTATACAAATAAACCTTCCTTAAGGATCATTCTATCTATTAAGAAAAGTCGCGGAGAACTTAACGGGTAACCGGGGCTCCGGCTCGACGTGCAGGAGAAGGAACGGGGTGGTTTTTAGTCAGTAAGAGTCTCACCCAGCCGCCTCACCCAGGCGGGAGAAGTCATTCGATGATTTTTCCCGCTTAAAAAAAAATCTATTAAAAAAACCGTATCAAAATCCGTTGCGTAGTTTTAAAGATCTAAGCATACATAGGGACAGACAGACGGTGGATAGCGACTTTGTTTTATACTATGTAGTGATAATGCAAAGCAATATTTTTTCTAGTTAGGTATTTTAGATTTTTGTTATTTGACGTGCAAAACACAACCTCTTACGTTGCTTTTGTATATTTTTATATTAAAAAAAAAAACAGAGAAACCACTTTCTCAACAAGAAGGAACAATCCATAAATATTTTCCATTTTTCCCATTTTAAAATTTATTTTGAGATACTTTCATAGCTGGATCTATCGAATAACAATCTCAAGAACATCGTTTCCTGTTTCCGGTACAACAAATGGCGAAGCTCGGGGCACGTGCCTCTTGAAGCACGCTTCAGAAGTATATCCAATTGCATTCTGTTTGAAATAAAGTCGAAAATCTTTTAAATTCGAATACCGTGATGTGAATATTCGTGAAATATATTGAAAATTGTTACCTTGTATTCACAAAACACCCATAGTTTATTGTAAAACATAAAATTAGTTGTACTTATACGTATTTATCAATTTCATATTTTTCTACGTATGATTTTGAAGATTATGCATGTAGATGAATGGAACTCTTGTTAACAACGGAATATGAAATAAAGATATAATTAATATGTATGCAGATACAATATAATATGTAGCATATTATAACAAAGGAACGTAAAGAATGAGGATATTGAGGAAACTTCGTTAAAGCAAACATGTAGATATTATTGTGCGAGTATGTACACTTGGGAGCAGAAAATCGGAGTCACTAGTGCTTTTTACCATTTTATCGAACCCTTTATAAAAAGAAGACAAACTGCTCTCATTTTAAAGGAAACTAAATTGTTTTTATACGACATGCGTTACCAATTAATAAAATTCTAATATCAGGAAATATTTATCAAGAAATGAAAAAAGAAAAACGAAAAACGCTGGTGCTGCCGTTTCTTTGCTACCAAGTGTCAGATACCTTCTGTTACATTTATTGCCTTCTGACGTCGCTATACTTATAAAATATATGAGTACATGGGAATGTTCTCGTCATTTATTCTCCTTTTAGTGAAATATTTGATGAAAACTGTGTTAACAGTCACAGTACAGTTCAACTAAAACAGGAACAAAAAAATTTGCAAATATTTCTTTGTCTGTTCTAATAGATATTATAAAATTATATTGCTTGTGCCTTTTTAAAGAATCGAAACTCAAAGCTTCCATTCCGTAATATTTCATGCTAACGTAGCACCATAATTCACAATCTACCGCTGAGAACTAAAAGAAACATAAATTTTGACATGTCCACATTTTCCAGGAATTTTAATGAAAACGACTGAAAAATAATGCTAAATAAAAGCTACAGACCGCAAAAATTCTAATGAAAAAATGGAAAAACTTGCTTAATAAAAACATGGCCAGGTTTCGACACGACAATGCCTAAAATTTTTGACAATTCTTACCTACACGAGTACTTTGATGAATAAAATAATACTGTACCTTTTTCTTGTGTTGATCTTCAAAGTCAGAGTTATAAATAATTATAGATTTGTTATTTAATTTGAAAAGCTTTATTTTGTTTATTCGTCTTGAAATACGAGTAATGCTTAATTTTAATGAAAATCTATAAATGAGTCAGGTTCCGACATTTCAGAATACACTCCATAATTTTGAAATAATGTGTTTTTTTTTCTTTCTTTCGACCTTTTAACAATTACTTTTACAGCGGGCGCAGTTGTGGAATCTGCTGAATGTTTATATTTTACATGCAACGCCTGTAAAGTTCCCTATACAACGGACACCACATCAATACATAGTATAAAACAAAGTCGCTTTCGCTGTATGTCCGTATGTATGCTTAGATCTTTAAAACTACGCAACGGATTTTGATGCGGTTTTTTTTAATAGATAGAGTGATTCTTAAGGAAGGTTTGTATGTATATACATATTGCACCCGTGCGAAGCCGGGGCGGGTCGCTAGTAGTTAATAAGAGTGATAAACAATCTTGTTATAACTGTCGCTATTCGAAATCTAAAGTTCAATCTCTTCTATAAGCAAATAATATGTCTATTAGTGAAGCTATTTGCTCACTGTTTAGGGGTAGTAACAATGGAGTATCTTTCCGTCAGGTACAAACCTGCTACAATATTAATGTAACCAGCTATCTCTGTTGGCAGGAAATTAAATTAATCATGCACAATGTGCTCGCCGTCGCGTAACTAAATATGTAGGACACACAATATATTGACAGCTATGTATATACTCTTTTATACTAATGTATCGCAAAATATTAGCAGATGGTAATGTCTCACTCGGAAAAATTTATGAGTAATAAATATCGATGAAATCAAATTGGACAATGAATTACTATTTTCCTATCGAGGTAAATTTTGCAGAACAAAATTGCTTCTGGCAACCCTGTGTTTTATTTATCGCCACATTCATTACAGGGTTGCCAAATGGTCTCATAATTGTAATATAGTGGTTCCCGGTCGTTATTGTTAAGATCTTCCCAAATACGTTTATTGGTACTAGGCGCTCATAATACTAGGAGGTAATAACTGTTCCCTAGTAAATATTTATACGGGAGAACCGCTACAAGCTTGGAACTGATAGAGATATATGAGATCGTACTGTTTTAAGACGTAGTAATATCCTTATCCAAAGTAATTAGTTGCCTTGTTTTGTTTAAGAAAAGTTATCACATCAAATGTGATAACTATGAGTTTTAAAATCTGATACCGTGTTGGAGTAACAGTGTCTGTCAAAGAACTGTGTCCAACTTGGTCTCAAAAGACCACGCGTAAGCAACAGAACTAGGAAGAGAACTGCTCTCAATATTTAGAAAACCGAATTAAAAAACAACTCAAGACTTTCTAAGAGATATATTGTTCTCTATTCATAAACATCATAAGCCTTTACGGAGAATAAACACATTCTTCCATAACATGATAAACAAGTACTTAGCAGTAAGCTCCTTAGAGCTATGGGTACCTAGTACGCAGATGTTTCTCTCATGATGCGGGCGACGTCTCAGTTTTCACAGTTTAATTTTTGAGTCTGAATATATCAAAGGGTTTTGTGACTTTTGTGATTACTAAGAGCGAATGTGGTCACAAAAAGTTTTGTAGTGGGACATTATAAAGATCTTTCAAATATCGTTAACTAGCTTTTACTCGTTGTTTTGGCCACATAAATACTTGATTAAATAACCCGTATCTGTATAGCCAAGTTCCAGGCAAATGTGTATGCTTTCAAGAAAATTGGTTAAGCAGACAACTTTATTTCTTGATCAAACAAAATATGTCGAGCGAACACAATCAGAAATGGTACCTGGTTCCTTAATTGAGTCCATGATAAAACTGGTGAAAACTGAAGTGCAGGATGCCTAACATTGTTTTTTACAAAGTCAAGTATCATAAAATCGCGGAAATTATACATTTTCTCGAAGGAATGCTTATATCGATGGGTCCTATGTATATGGGCCAAAATGTAAAATCACAATTTTACAGGAGAGGCTTCCAAAGTTTAAATTTACTGTAACTTCAGATTGATAAAACCGAACTTTACGATTATTTGCTTGTTTGCTAAGACAACGATCCTCCTCATTTATATTATAGTATTATATATATACATATATAGGTTTTTTTTTAAAGTCACATTGGTCCTTCTACGTTAGTTTTTGTTTAAATTATTTTTCTTTAAAAACACCCTAAAAGGGCTAATGTGTCATATTGGCCATTATACGAGTATTACGCTAATTGGCTTAAAGTATATATTTTTTACATTTTTTACCCATAAAATCAAGTAACAATTGAAGTAGTTGATAATTAATAAACACAAATATAAGCAATTTAGATATTTAGTTATTTACGTCACATTGACACTTATACGTTTTACAATCTAGTATCCTACGAACTGAGTTTTCAGTTTGAACATTTGATTAATAAAAAAACACGCAATAGTTTTATTCATTTATTGAAATAAAAATTGAATTAGCCTTAAAACTTCACTCATGGACCCGTTCTCAATTTTTTTTGGTATATTCATAATAAAAAAATAACATAAAAAAAATAAGTAAGAAGGAAACTGTTACTGGTGATCTTAGTTTGATTAACAAAATAATGTACTTGTACAAAAAAAATAACAAAATTATAAACCTATCTGATGTAAACAAAGTAAAAAAATCTTCGTAGTATAATCAAGTAATAGAATTACCAAAATCAACATTACTAGAAATGTTTAATAATTTTTCGTTAATTTTCTAAATTATCGATTCATAGTAATGAACTTCACATTATTATTTTCTTAATAAAATTACAAAAAATAACAAAATTAAAAACCTATCTGGTGAAAACAAAATAAAAAAATCTCTGTAGTGTAATCAAGTAATAAGATTTCCAAAATAATCATTACTAGATTTCTAGTTAATAAGTCTTCATTAATTTTCTTCATTATCGCTTTCATTAATTGACACAATGTCATTCGATGTTACTAAATTTTCATAATAACTGTGGTATGCAGGTGGAATAATATTTTTTCGACATAAATCAAGCAAGTCTTTCTTCTTGGAAGGTTGTATTGGTAACAGCTGATTATAACATAGTTGCAAAGGAATATCTGTAGGTCTTTCGACAATTTGCCTTCTTGTTCGTACTGGCTGATCTAAGATTTTAATATGATTTTCAATAGCATCTTCACTTAAATCATATTTATAGTATAAAACGTATGGTTCATCTCGTCTGACACGAATTTGTTTTATTTTAGACCAAACAATTTTTTGTCCTTCTGAGTTTTTAGTCCAGTTAAAGTGTGTATTTGTCTGCATCTTTTTGAAGTCATAAATCATATTTTGAGCTACGTCTATGACGTTATAAGGACTTCCTTTTGATTTCGCCCATCGAATCAATGAGCTCCATTCAGAGGGTGTGTAAATATTTTTATATTTTGAAGCTCTTTCAATAGTGGCGTGTATGGAATCGCCTTCATTTTGAGTGTGGCCTACTTCAAGAAAAGAATGCTTTATATTCAAATTAAACTGTTTAGCAGCGTACAGATACATAAAAAACATAATCCTGTTTCGGTTTTGGCCAGTGCAATTGTCTGACCAAAATCTGAAGTCGTCACAACCTTCTTGACTTTTTAATTTAATTATATCATAAATACAACTGGCTATTTCGTTCGAACCCTTCATTGCTATTTGTTCATTCCATAAGTAACAGGTACCAATTAACTTCCCAACATCAAAAATTGATAAGTTATGTACTTTCAACCTTTTACTGTAATAAAATAGACTAATTTCACCACTTGGGGACAACAACACTTTTTGCAAATCAAAAGTAGCGCAGAATATTTTCGTGTCATTTTGTGAATCACGTTTATCCTTTTCTTTTAAGGATCTAGCCTGATTTTTGCTGATTATATGATTATCAAAAAATATTTTATTTTCAGGAGTCACAGAACCGTTTTTGAAAGAATGACAAACATGGCATTGGTCTTTTTTTGGCTGGTGAAATGACAAATTAATATTTTTGTTTACTATATCCCTGTATTGCCTTAATGACTCACATTTATTACCATATTTAGATGGATCATACCATTCTTTGTATAACTTGAACATTCGAATAAAACTTAAAGAGCCATCTAAATAAAGTTTATTACTGTCTTTGCGACAATAATGTGAATCAACCGGTTCAAAAGACTTGACGTGGTCCAGCACACTTTTGATCATTACTGCATCAATAGATGTTTTATGGTGATCATGTCGACCTCTATTATCAACCAAAGTGAGCCTACTTGTATCATAAAATTTACTCATTGCAGTTCTTATCATTTTGGGCCCACAACGAATGGTGTTTAAAAACATCGTCTTGCATACCACTAGTTTCGTCTTTTGTTTATTTTGAGTAATAGGCAAATGGTACACATATGTGTATGACCTTCGTGAGTCACCCTGGGTAACCGATCTTTTTTTATTTATTCTTACTACATAGTTAACAATAAAGTCATATTGCTTAGAATGATCTCCAATCATCCAAAATTGATGAAATATAGCACTCCTTACGTCTGCATCAAGTTTTTCAAAACACTTTAGTTTACATGTGCTCTGACATGGTTCACCTATTTGTTTCTCATCTCTTAATTTTCCATTTCTACTGTTATACGCTTTCCCAGTATTTTTAAGTCTTTTTCTTTTCGAATCTATCCATTCATTACGAAATTTTTCTCTTAATCTTCCATTATCTCTTTTTTTAGTAAATTTTCTTTTTCTGGGCCCCTTAGGAGTTGAAACATCACTTGATGAGTAATACTGTGAAACAGGGGACGATGCAGTCGCATCTGATAATAATGATAGGACTGAAGGAATAGGTTCTTCTTCACCGAAAGAACTATTATTAGATGATGGCATTGGGGTCGCATTATCAACATCTCGCATATCGTAATTAGATAACAGATCTGTATTTTTACCGAAATCTTCACTATGATGGTCGATTGAAGATTCAAAAACTTTGTCGCTTGACAGATTATTATGTGTTACTATGATTGATGAACTGTTAGCTATGGGCTCATAATTGTGATCATTTGTTTCTTGTACTGAAAGACAGTTTGAGTGTAAATCAGAATAGTTTTCTTTTTCATGAGTGTCACTATGGGTACACTTTTCATGGGGTTGAGGTAATTGACTATTACAAATTAACATGTTATCAGAGTCGAGCAAAGTAGAATTTTCTAATGTATCATTTTGTTTTTCTTGTTGAGGGGAATCATTTTCAAATATATCATTGAGCAGACTTAAACTGCAATTTGTGAATATCTCACTGGCTCCAAACGGCAAAGGAGCTGCAGACAAAATAAATGAATGTAAGATAAGACCGTAATATTGTAAACAAAGTAAGTTAAATAAAGTTATTAATAACGTAACTAATAATAATAGTAGTTCCAATAATATTTCAACCCTTGCTGTACACATTAACAGGCCAAAAATAAAAAAATATACTGTAGGACGTAAGTGTATTTTTTTAGAATAAAACACGTATAACGGCCAATTTGCCACATTGGCCGTCCATCCTAAAAACTCGTGATATTTCAGGTAATTTATTTATAAAAGAATAGTTAATCAAAGTTTAAAGATTGACTTGTCTGTAAAAACATATTTGAGGTACTTACAAAGGTTATCATCGCTATTTTCTATAAAATCGTCTTTTTCATAACCTAAATCGTTGTTATGTGCACTGTTATTTTCATTTCCCAATGCCAAATTCACTAAATTCCGACTTCTAGACAACTTAGCACGATAATTGAATGCCATCTTTCACTTATTAAACTAAATAGTAACTCAAAAACACAACAATTACATTTTGTATTCATCACAGTGTGGCCGTTGCTTTGTTCAACGTATAAGTGTCAAATCAGCTGATTGGTCCAAACTACGACACGAATGCGCGGGAACTCCCCGCGTATAAGTCTTTAACTACTCTTGGGACCTTGTACGTTTAAATTCATGTTACATATGCCGTTATACTGTAATAAAAAATCATGCTTCTATGCACAAATCTCTTTTTTTTTATAGCTCATATGATTCATTACATCTATAGGACGTGTTTACCATTAAAAACTCAAAATAGCAAAATTGTTAGTTTGGCCCATATACATAGGACCCATCGATATATGAGAAATGCGGTCGAATCTGGACCATTGGACGACCTCGGTTCTGTATGAAATATAGAATGGAAGTGATTTATCATAGCCGATGTTTTTATTAAAACGTTTTGAACGAGAGTGCTATGTTGTCTTTTTACTAAACGTAACATGATTCATTATTTCGTTTACGAAATCTTTACTAATAACAGTGAGTGTTCGTCTGTTTATTCTACTAAAGTGCCAAAACTGCTAACCTAATTTTGACATAATCGATGAAAATAGATAAGATAATATGGAATGTGGTTTAGATACTTTTAAAAAAGATAAAGCTTAAAATGGATAGATTTAAGAAGATCTGAAAAAATATACCAACAACAATTCTGATTGCTTAACTAAATGTACCTACCTACAACAATGATGGTTCATTGTCAAAAGTCAAGACCATCTTCGATGTGACAAGACACGAACAAAACAGAAATATTGAGTGTTGAAAAGTTGTTTATAAAACACATAACATATATAACATAACATCACGCCTTTTATCCCCGAAGGGGTAGACAGAGGTGTACATTATGCCACTGTACAATGTAACACCCACTTTTCACTATTTATGTTATGAGTCCCATGTAATAGGGGGTGAGCCTATTGCCATATACCGGGTACAATTCCAGACTCCGTGCTACTACTGAGAATTTTTGAAAAACCCAGTAATACTTTGCCCGACCCGGGAATCGAACCCGATACCCCTTGCCTGGCAGTCGCACTTGCGACCATTCGGACAATGAGGCAGTCAGTTGTTTATAAAACTTCATCATAAACATAATAATACAAGTATGTTTACTGCCATGTTCTGGAAGAATTGAAGAAGGAATCCTCCAACATGTACCTCTAATACATAATATTATTCGCAACAAAACACGGTCCATCTAATTAGAAATTAACCCATTTCCTACGGTATCCTCAAGGGTGGGTAATAATTACAATACATCGTTATTTAGATATGTAATTACATTCTGCCCAAGGGCCTATTGTACCAGAGTAACAGCATCGAGAGATTTCATTGCAAGACAGGGATGCTGCTATATAGAATGTATATCACTATTTCTTTCCTCGTTTAGAACAATTATTTTGGTATATCAGAGGTCTGGAGTGGCGCTAATGACCCGAGAGTTTGTTTTGGCAATCAATTGATACGTATGTTCCGTAAAGGGACTAAGGCGGCAGCCTCTTGAGGAAGTGTTTGTTTAGGATATTGTAGGAAATTGAAATGAGGTAAATATTTTGATTAACGGTGTGTGAACGAACCTCCTAATAAAATTGGGATGTAATGATGAATCGGCTATGCAATTAGTTGAAATATAAAGAATTATATACAAATGGTTCCAAAAGGAATTAGGTATTCATAATTTAAACGTTTGTATCTTAAAATACGTTTTCAGTTTCATTTAGATGCATAATAAGTGGATAATCCTCTTTACTGCTACAAGTTATTTCATTTTTAACCTGCAAGTTAAGCCGCGAATAATAGGTGTATGTACCAGTTTCACAAACAGCACACAACAACGGAATTAAACGTTGCAGTTTATATAATATGATATAACACGTTAAACCAGCTTATCCTATGTTGTTTTCACTATGTTTTTCAAAGCGCACATAATTTTATTTTTGCGTCGGAATAACAATCTGGATTTAATCTGACATACATTCATAATTGGCGTTTAAAACGGTTTGTTCACTTTGTAACGCTGAATGTGATTATTTTAAGTACCCAATCAAATTGTCTATTGTTTTGTTCTCTGTATTCAAGGCTAGTCTATCTCCGTACGTCTGCAGTAGTAAGTAACTAGTTAGTAGAAATTAGTAGAAAAAATGGTCTTAAGTTTTATGTGTATGGCATGGTCTCTTAAGGCAATTTGTACAAGACTTTTGAAAGACAACGCGTGGGAGACACACCTCCAATTTGACCTTTAATCAATGTAATAATATGCCATTTATTTCTTAAAGGTATAGACAGAGATTTTAAAGCGAAACACCCACCCATCCCTAGTTACAATATCAAGTTCTATGTAAAAGTGGGCGAGTAATAATACCATACACGATTAAATCTGCTTGATCGAAAATCACAATTATACTAACTACCAACAAGAGAATCTCATACAAGAACCCTAGCTAATAGTTATGCTGGTCGACCAAACAAAGAATCTAGATATTTTATTATACAAAAAATATTAATTAGTTTCAACAATACACGAATAGGCGAAACATTTGTTTAGCAAATAAAGTTTAAAATAGCCTAACAATTTCAGTTACGTGAATTAATTAGTACTTGTTCCCCTAAGTGTAATTTGGGTAGGCACGAGTAATTTATAATTTGCTTTGTGTACTAACATAGAACTGAAAATATGCTAATGGATTTGTTATATTATTTGTTATATTACTAGTTATATCAATAATACAAGGCATTGTGGTGAAGGTAGAATACTAAAGAGGTTATTAAGCCATTTTTTTACGAATGCTGTACTAGCCGACCAAGGAACTACTATAGCTATTAAAATCTAAGGGTTGAGGTTCAATCTTCGAGTAGAGCAACATGTAATGTTATTTAATAAATTGTAGATAACAATACGATGACACGGAGTCTGGTATTCATAGCTACTAAAATCAAAATTTATAAAGTCTGGTAATATTCATTAAAAGTAATTCATCATGTCATCGCATTCAGGATTTGTTCACAATAACCCGATGTAACCGCACTGCGGGGTAATGTCACCCATTCATGGAGATTTGACGGGGTTTTGTGGAACCTTTCAACCCTAATGACCGCATTCATAATACCTTTGATACGGCATCTGTAACTTTTGGTCACAAAACACCCGTTTTGGTGGTTTATACCTTCGGGTTTATAAGTCATATCATAGCTTTTACTCCACCGTGTGATGGGTTGAACACCTTTTTCTTACATAAATAAATAGCTCTGTTGTAGCAAGTCTTTTTCGTTCCCTCACCCTAGGATTTTCCCCGCAGTTGGCAAATGTTGCTGCACACAAAACAATTCCAAAACTCTGTACAATCACTACATAGTATAAAACAAAGTCGATATCCGCCATCTGTCTGTCCCTATGTATGCTTAGATCTTTAAGACTACGCAACGGATTTTGATGCGGTTTTTTTTAATGGATAGTGATTCTTATGGAAAGTTTATATGTATAATACATGCATATTGCAACCGAAGCCGGGGCGAGTTGCTAGTTAAAAATAATTTTGACATAATTTGGTGAGGAATTTGAGAGTTCAAAAGCCAATTTCAATAAAAACTCGGACTAGATCGAAAACATTGATCTTCTATATCACTATTCCAATATCATGTCGGTCCAATTGTATTTTACAACAAACAAAAGATAGAAATAAAACATAAATATGTACAGAAATAGAAATAAGAATAACCTTTGACGGACATCCACCATTTGGCAAATGAATGCGAGTGTGGGAGGACAGCAGTACGTGTACCTACTGGCGTAGACTATGATCTTGCTGAAGGTATTTGACGTACCATTGTGGTCAAGTTTTTGCACGTCTTCTCTCTAAATGGCAAGAAGTGGGTAGTGGGTGTATTGTAGGATATGTCTCTATCTACTCCTTTGTGATAGTGATCTGACTGTACCATATTTCTTTGGGAAGGTATAATTCTGACGTATAGTCGTGGTAAACATCGTGAGGAAACCTGGACTTGTAATTTTAAACTTATACGCTTGAATTCGGCAATCCGCCTTAAGCATATGTGGTGATTAATGCTCTTTCCTTCTCTATGATAGAATAGGCCTTTTCTCAGCTGCATAGTTACAGGCTCATAATGACAATGATGAAAGCGTAATGATCCATGAATCACATAATGTTAGGTATTAAAAAGACTAACCGACCCTAACCGACGAGCATGCATGAGAATGAGAGAAATGTTGAGGAAGAGAAAGAGGTATGTAGGAATCGTAGCAGCGTTCCATAGACTATACCTACCTCCATGAAGGACAGGCGCGAAGATATCTATGTATGATAGAAAGACTAATTGACGTATTTAGTAATATTGTCATACAATTTTACTAAAATGTCTTAATTTATTTAACAATTTTATTAAACTAACTAAGGACTGATGAGCAGTCGCATTAGTGGTCAGTAAGGCAATGGAAACAAGTTTATAAATATTTTAACCTAAATCTCTGGACATAGCTACGTGCTCTGTGTCCGGAATATAAACACAACTGTATGATTGATATTCCCCCGGGCTAACGTACGGTTTGAAATTACTGACCTGTGCCAAGCTTCGATATAGTTCCGACGAATTTCTGCATAATTATTATTAGTTTAGAATACATGGATATTAAGATACGTTGGAAACATATATTGACTGCACAGTTGGCGCAGTGGCTGGGCAATCGGCTGCCATGCAACGTGTAGCTGTTCGATCCCGCACGGAGCAACTCTTTGTGTGATCCACAAATTGTTGTTTCTGGTCTGGGTGTCGTGTGTATGTGAACTTGTATGTTTGTAAACGCACCCACGACACTTGAGAAAATCCTATTGTGGGACAACGTTTAATTAAAAAAAAACATCCGTTTGGAACTATTTTTACTTTGACGTACTTACAAATCGGAAAATTAATGGAATTCATAATAT